TCAAAATTAAAACTTTAAGTTAATAGTAAATATATTTCTTGCATTTATTAGTTACTCTACCAAATTAATATTTTTAGTATTATAGTATATTTCTATCGGAAGCAACTTAGATAAATTAAGTTATTACATTGATAGATCTAAATCTAACATTTTGTCAGGCCTTACAAGAATGTTGCTGTAAGTGGAAGAGGTAGGTCAAAGATTATGTTTTATACTTGCTTTCACAAATAATCTACGACATTACATATAGAGTGGTGCTATTAGGACAATTTTTTTTATATCACTTTTTGATACAACTTTCACATGTTATTAAATGAGTAAATGCATTCAATATCACGGGACTCACATGAATAAAAAAAATTAATCATGTAAATGACACGTCAAGTTGTACAAAAAAGTGAGACAAAAGAGTTGACCCAAAATCATTTCCCTTACATATACCCTTCCATTAGCTAATAAATAGGAAAAAGGAAGCATATCATCAGACTTTAAACGAACAAAATAGCAGGTGCCCCATTCTTACCACCCAATTCTTCAGGGCTGATTTGCTTCTTACTTTCATATTCTCCTTTAATGAGACTCATAGTCTTCAAGGCCTTATCATCTTGCATGAATCTCTCAATGTCTTCCAAATAAATGTACCTGATGAAACGGTTATGAGTAACGTCACAATAAACATGAAGAATCACCTCAAATGTCTAAAACATAAAAAACATCAGCGCATCACCAAACCTACCACTCATTAGTGTCTATCTGTACTATTTCTGTTATTCACTCTGATGAATGCCAATGTCACGAAAATAGGAACCAATTACATGAATACAAAAAGAATGAGCTAAACTCTCACATACCAGTCAAATATCTTGCTCGAGAAAACCAACCAACAAAAACATATGCTTTTTAAAGTAGTCACACAAGTAAGATATACCGGCAACATGTTATCTATAAATTTTCTAGCCTGTTTCCTGTCCACTTCCCCTCACTTTGCACTTAGGTCATGCCATGCTCCTTTATCAGAAATATTATGTAACATAAAAACATTCACTTGCTGACCCGGCCAAAAAACAACAATCATGCAGTTTTATCCTTCCTGTACAATATACCACGGAGAAGGAAAATACAAGCTGAGTAGACTTTGGTAAAGTAGAACTTAATTAATTTCCAATAACTATGAGTAATTATTAATGCCATCAAAATAATTTGGAATATGCAACTAAGTTGAATCCTAGCTTTCGTCTAACATGAACCATTAAAACACTCCTTCAAGAAAATATGTAACTATAAAATTACCTGCTACTCTGACTTTTGAGAAACTTAAAAAAGAGCAAGCATTCCTAACTGTAATAGTTACCTCATATAATTGTCCAAGCACTAAAGCAAAAGTTTATGCCAAAAGCCTCAATAGAAAATCTAGAATTGAGCTAAATTAATTCAAGGCACACACACAAAACATTTGAAAACAAAATGTAACAGATCAAGGACATACTTGGAACCTGGCTTAGCAACATTCTGAAATATTTTCGTGGCGGTCATTTTTGCCTCGTCCAATGTAGAAAGAGCACCATGCCCAATAATATTCATCAACCACGTCATACTCCAAGCCAAAGCATTCTTAGGGTTCAATTTGTGAAGGTGATCTATACTTATACTCTGATCTTCTTCATCCCCCTTCTTTAAAATCCTCACCACTGTTATTTCCACCACTACTACTTCTAGTGAAGTCCACATTCTATTTTTTCCCCTTCATCATCAATTTATAAGAATCACCCAAAAAATCATAGCCCAAGTCTCCACAAATCCTGTGCCCACCACCGAAAGCGTTGCTCTGACTACTTCCACCGTCTATCCTTATAACGAACTCCTTCCTATTAGCCGAACCAACAGTCATTGTACACCCGGTTTAAATTCACCAATACCAGAATACCGATGCTGATGCCGATAATGTAGGAATACAATGACCGGGACACACTTTAAACATGCTAAAACCATATTATAATACTTTAATATATTACTAACAAATTAAGTAATTTAATGATAATTTTTTTTATTAAAAGTAAAAAATGTTTAATTTAACTTTTATAGGATGCGCGTAGAGTGAAACAAAAGATACGAGAGAGAGTTGTTTCTTATTATATAATTAATATTAAAATAATAATAATAATAATAATCTAATATATTTTATTTAAAATGAAATTATAATATTCTTCGTTAATCCTTAGTGATACGATAAAAATTAAAATAGTAATTTATTTTTTTATTATTATTATTTTTTGAACAAGTTATCAATAAGTGAACTCAAAACTCGATCATGAGAGAGAATAAATGCACCTCAGGGTATCAGTTGACCAGAAGAGTCAGGTGCAAAATAATAATTTATTTAATTTGTTATATATTAGTATTTAAAATTTTTATCATGTTCCATTTTTAAATTTTAACATGTTGAACTTAAAATTTGCCACTAATCTAAAGGTTGAGGTTTCATC